CGAAGGTGTAGCGAAGCACAAAGCTCTGAGCGGGTGTGAATAAAGTCAATCATTGTCGGTCAGATCAACACAACGCGGATGAGAGATGCTGCAATTGCTCAGAGTTTTCCGTACGGTCTTCAAAGCTTGTTTTCAAATCTACATGGACACTCTTGTTCACCTGGTGTTTATATGCTCGTCATAGTCCGGGACAGCAGGCGCTTCACCTCGAGCGCTAGATGCCTCTGGCCGCAACTGATTTGTGGCTGCTTCTCTGCACTGCTATCTAACTTTCAATCGATACATGGATCGAAATTTCCAAACTCTCTGAACTAATCAACCCAATTTCGATTTCAGACAACTTTCGATGGTCTGCAGAACCAGTATTTCTAGCTGAAAGTCACGACTGCAAAAAGGCGAAGCTGAAGCTAAATTGACTGTATACTCCTCGAATTCCACAAAGGTGGGCCTGGGAGCGAAGAGAGGCAATAGGAAGATAGTGTCAATGCCACCGACCGACTAACAAATTAGCATCTGCGACTGCACACTTAACTGTAGTTTTTCAAATAATGGATGAAGAGTCCCTCCCATCTGGCCAGGCAAGAAAACCATCGCGGGAGCAGTCAAGTGTCGAAACCCACAAATCTTCATTTGCTGGTACCCGACAAGCTTCTGAAGAAAGTAAAAATATCAGATTCGTTGATCAGGATCTCATAGACCATCATCCTCGCAATCAACAACATCGACCATCATTTGGGGATCCCAAAAAGTGGCGAAATGTTCGACGAAGGATGTCGATCAAACCAATAGGTAAGTTTGTTCCCAATCTTATTTCGGTTTTACATTGTGAGATTCCTTTCGCATTACTTTCGCACTATCCCTTCGTTCATAACTATCATTCATTTACATCCATCATAACCCAAACTGGCATGCGTCTATTTAAATAGTCGCTTGGAGAAGCGTTCAACATAAGCCCGTACGACCATCCCCTAACCCATTAACTCCATATTTGCCACTGAAATATTAGCGTCTTTTGACCAGATTTCTCCATTAATCTTCTATACTATTGATCACATCTTCACTGTCACGGTGTTTACATCAAATATCATGCTTTCCGCAATACTCACTGAGTACTTCTTTCAATAATACACTCAGATTTTCCTACTACTCGTTTTAACTTTATCGCCTCATATGAAGCGCACTGCTGTTGTAAAGATCAGCAATTCCGCAGTTAAATATAGAGGCAAGTGACCCACGTTTAGCATTTAACCAGCAATAGTAATAGTA